AATTAATTACATTTTTAATTATTCCCACAAAACAAAATCACCCCCCAAAAAGTGATTTTTCCGGAGTCTGATTGCAGCCATTTCTCAAGTGACAACCCTCAACTTTCTGGGGCCCTTACGACCATTTTTCAACCGTAGTTTTTAGCCATTCTGCTCTCATATGAAAGCTCAAAGACCCAGGGAGTTGATCCTGGCAAGGATTTACACAGTCTCACCATTTTGGGAGGCCAAACAATCTCCTTTTTAAAAAGATACTGTGGGGTCACTTCATTGGCCCCTGCCAAGCATTGGGCTTGCTGCCAAAAGTGCCTTATTCCGGTTCATAGACATTGGAAGTAATAAATGTAGAAAGTGATCTCTTTCATTTAAGTAGTGGTGGACAGCTTTTCTCCAGTCAGCCATCAAGCATGTGCCAAAAGAGCAGCTGTGTTTGTAATTGATAGTATAAATGAATATTTACATATATATCACCCATCCATTAGAAAGATATTTATTGCCCGCTATCCTAAGTATGTGATAGTTCACCTTGAGACGAAGATTATCCTTAATAGCCTTGACATCATCCAGATATGATTGGCAAGTTTCCCAAAATAATGTCATCACACACCCTCAACAGAACATACAAGTTACAGTGCTGATTCTGTAAGAGTTGACATCAGATTATCTGGTCACTTCACCTTGACTTAAACCAGCTGTGGTTGACGTCTGGGGGCAACTGCTCTGAGTTAGTTATGCTATCCTGATGGGCTGGTCGTTTTTGTGATAGGATGTTCACCATTGAAAAAAGAGAAACGTTATCTTTAAGGAGAGGTTTTGTGAGATTAAAATCGTTGCTTATTTCCAAGACCTGATTTTCCACCGCCTCAGCTCAAGGAGTGAACTGATCCAAGTAGCTTGACTTTGGAAAATGGACAATCTTTTTTCGTGGTCATTGATACTGTACTGTAGAGTTATCTGTCTGTAAACTTGCCTCCTTTGTCACTGTGTGTCCTAACCTAAGTTCAGAGATCAATCCTTACTGAGTTTGGGGCATGAACATGAAAAGTTCCTCATCGTTCTCTGACCTTGGAGATGGTGCTTGTCATGGAAGTAGCTTTGTCATATCAGAAATTATCCTTGCAACTTCGTAATATTATGCTGGGAAATGTACGGCATTGCAGCGATACACGAGCTTGTGAAGTATATTTTCTCTGCTAAGCTGCATCTTTTATTGTGTGGCCTGAGGGTCTGGCTGGTGTATTGACACCCTGCTGAGCGATGCAATGTTGACCAGGAGCAGCGAAATTCTGGATGAGAAAAATCAGACCGGACTTGACGCGGCAACTCTTTGACATACCCATGGCATTCCTGGAGTGTCTTTGCAAGAGTTTTGGGCAAGAAAGGGCCGAGATGTTGCTCCAGAGATGCAGTTGACATGGAGGCAAGAGGTTTGCTGTGGAGGAGCGAGAGAACTTCAACGAGGAGAGAAGGATGAGAGGGACAGATGATGAGGAGATGGGGAGGATTCTCTGGGATTACCGTGGCAACGCCCTTGATTCCTTGACAGGAGGGGAGCAGAAAGGAGTTGTCTGATTCTGGAAGAATGAGCATGTATTTTAATGCAGTAAGCTTTCTAAAAGTTTAAAGGGTGCAACTTCTACTTGCGAGTGCAGTGTGATAAGTCTATTAACTATGAATTGGCTGTGCCGGGCTTGGGATTTGAGCTGTTTCAGCTTTTAGGTGGAGGATGACAGTGCAACTTGAAATTTTCTTACAGTCTGACTTTATGGAAGGAAGCTTGTTTACCTAAAGTCCTGGACATTCCTAAAAGCTTTTGATTTGTATTTTTTGAATCAGTTGAATCCTGTATTAATAGGCTTCGTGGCAAGGAAGGTTTAGTTCCACATACCACATACAGTAAAATACCTTTGAAATTCACGCTTATTTTGAGGGGCACGAATGTCTCGGATGATGACCTTTGACTTCTCATGAATCTGTTAGGCTTGTCTGGAAAGGATTTGCTCAATTTTCTTTCTGCACGCAGAGGCCACTGACATTAATGTTGGCCGACACAAAGGCAATGGTAACTCAGTACTTTGTAATTGGGTTGAGGTAGCCGTGGGAAGGCATGACGTAAAGAGTCATTTGGAGGCAGGAGACACGAGGAAACAATTAATCAGTGTTGCCACGTGCCTGTGCATCATGACTAAGACATTGATTAAAGTTAGCTTGTCTGATGCTGCTACTATCAGGAAAGAGTCGTCAATTGTCGTTGTAGGGCATGCATATGGAGATTCTCCTGCTCTGGCAATCCCACTGCTCAGAAAATGTTCGTGTTAGCCTGCTGGCTGCTGTAGCATTTGAATTTTTGCGAATAGCTGTTGAGCATCCTTGTAGGAATCTTTGGAAAATCACAAGATTGTTCATGAGAGTCGCAGCCTAACAGGTCTGCCAGCTTGAGATGGGCAACTCACCGCTTGCATGGATGTTGGAACAGCTGTTGAGAGCGTACATGGAGTGACCCATCTCTTGCATCTTTTGGTGCCCAAGACGAGAGTAACGAAAGAGTGAACCACCCCTCCGGCTTGTTTTGAACTATCTCCTGGCTGACCGACTGGCTTCGGCCAGTCACTGGACATTACTGTTTGTGTTTGGAAAGAACAAGACGTTGGCTATTTTTCAGTAGCCATGCTGCTGGTGTTAAGCTACATCCTGGCCTGGGTCGCCCTAGTCATTGCTCTTTGGATCAACCACAGCTTCTCTGCATTTCGGCCCGTAAGGTTTATTTCAATTCTTAGCCAAATCTGATGGACTTTTCTCCCTTTTTTTTGGGGGGGGTGCACTATGGAAGCCGTATAAATTATTCAACTAGGTTTTTTTTCACCTCGCACCAATTTTTCTGTTTAAGAACAATGTATACTCTGTTTTTGAAGGAGTTGGCAGAAAAAATCTTGGGATGAAATTTTCTATTGCAGCAAAAATATGCAGATTTCTCACAAGATTTCAGAAAGTGCAAAGCGAGTATTAGTAATAATATTGTAAAAGCGGAGAAACTTGTGGGAGGAAGTTGCGTATTGTATGTGATATCAAGTATGCCAATTCATCTTCCGTTCTGGGTGAGGTTTCAGTGGCAAAAATTTTCATTTCAATATTTGTACTCAAATTGCCAATACTTCTGCGGGAGCAGATTCATTTTGTACTTTTATGTGGTTCCTGACTTCACCAAGTTGTAGAATGTTTTTTTTCCCAGGCCCCTGACATTGAGCATGAGGATAGTTTCTTCCTTCCGCTAATAAACTAACCAATCCCTCACATTCAACCTTGACTTTGGTTTGGGGTCCGGTCAGTAGACCTCCAGTAGTTTTCCTCTGGCCATTTTTCCTGTCTGTTGTCTTTTAACCGCACATACAGTAGGCTTTTGCATATTGATTGCAAAAGAGAAAACTGTCCTATGCCAACCTCCCTGGGTGATCACTGATTACCATTTATTTCTTTGGCTCATGGCATTGCTGATGTCCTTAGCTTTGTGATTTTGAGAGTCATCCCTAGCCAATTTTGGACATAGGCCTACAATATCAAGCCTTTTGAATAGTGGCTCGAAAGAAAAATTGTAGCCATATCCAGAAGCTACTTCGGTGAGGGCTGGATAGCTTGCTTGTAAGACCACAAGTATGCCGTGCGGGAGTTACATTTTGATTCCCCACTCATTTTGGTTCCTTCTGGTCTGTCTGAGATTGCACAGGCAAATTTTTTAAGGTACAGAAGATTAAATGGTAAAAAATGTTTTCTGGATGGTTGTAGATTTCTCCTATGAGTTGAACACCAACAAAATCACTGACATGTGAATCAGCTTCCTCTCTAACTGAATTTCCCCAGAAGAATTTTTTTCATTCCATTGTTGACTTTTTCATGAAATCAACATTTTTTTTTATGAAAAACCCAATCTGTTTACACTATACAGACAAGCACCTTTTCCTTAGATTAGCCAATTTGTTGTTTTTTTACTTCCCAAGTGTGCCATTGCAAAACTGAAAAGCAGTGAACAAATTCTTTTTAAGTTTGGTATTTCCTTTTTTTTTTGGATACCTTGGCTACAGTGACAGTCTGCAGAGAGCTGGTTTGAACATGTTCATGTGGAGCCAAAAATTTCTGCCCATTAGGAAAATGCAGTAGTTTCTTCCGGCCTCCTGTACCATTAATTTTTTCAAATTAATCCAGCCTAGAAAAATGCTGCTGTTGCATGCTGTGATGCATTTCCACTGAGCGGATATTGCCCTCATAAGCTGACAGCGATATGTCCGACATTTCCGACGGCCCTGTCACTCATAATTGGTCAGGTAACACCTGCCGTAAATTGTTTTTCAATTTACAATGAAAACATATCCTGGCGGTTGCTCTCGTGTTTTAGCCAGCCTATTCCATGTTCATCACCAAGAATGCGAACAGTTTAATCTTGCATTTTGGAGAAGGCTGGAAAACTGTCATTGGCAAAATATCGATAGTTGGCCCGTCGGTTGCCTGAAGGTGTGAAATTTATGCTTGCTTACAAGTGCTGCCGTCCTTCATATTTTTCTTTGGACCTTTTAAGACTGAATTATACATAGCTCAGGGGTACTCCTGCGGAAGCCGATCCCCAAAATAGATTTGAGAAGTTTTCATGGGAATGATAACAATGAGAAAGAAATTGAAGGGTTAAGTTGATTGTGTATTCCAGAGCAGATGCTGATGAAACATTTGGTTTTTGGGTTGAGTATATTCGTCCATTCTGCCATTTGCAGAGACACGCATCCCAAATTTTACAAATACCATTGTTTCTCTTAGAACTCACGAAAACTGTGTTTGACAGAAAAAAACAGGCAATTTGGGAAGGTGAAATAGATCTTGTCTCACATTAGTCTTCTAAGTTCCTTAGAAAGGGCATTTCCCTTGTGCAAAATGCTACAAAGGGAGAGCTACGAAATAATGGAAGAATGCAGGTGTTCATCCATGAATAGTGATCACAGTTCATTTGTTGGAAAGTTCAAACTGTCATGCGTTTCTTAACATTTTTAATGTCGTTGCTGCAGGCCCTGCAAGAAGAATTTGACCAGAAGCAGGAGGAGTTGCAGCGCCTCATGCTAGAAGGCAACGACCTTGCCCAGAAGGGGGCCAAGTCGGTGGTCACACCCGCCCAGCTCCGGCTCCACGCCCAGTGGCGGGAGGTGGAGTCGCAGTTCCACCAGTACCGCCGGCCCGTGGAAGAGGAGATCCTGGTGGAGCGGACAGTCACCACCATCCAGGCCACCTACCGGCTGGACAAGACCCTGCAGGCTGGTTCTGGGGCCGAGGTGGAAGCCGCGGACTCCGCCGTCCGCTCCCCTGAGGGGGCAGAGTCGGTGTCCACGGCCGTCCTGGAGTTCCTGGAGGAGGTGGAGCGGGTCTGGGTCAGGATTCAGGAGGTGATGAAGGAGCTGGAGACCAGGGAGTTGAATGGTGGGGCATTTGACAGTTTCTCCCTGCAGGAGGATCGGCTCAAGGTAGGCAAACATGTCTATTTCCCATTGAGGATGATCAGTGCATTGATCAAATTTCTAGGAAACTACCTCGGGCAGGAATCTCCATTGCATGTACATGTACATTGTTTCCTGGTTTTTTTTCATTCACACATTTACCAGTATTTTGACCCGGTTTCCATAAAAAGTTTTGCAGAAAGGTATCTGCCTGGATATCAGTTTCACTCTGTATCCTCTCTCACTAGGTCTACAGTTAGAAGAAAGTGGATTAGAGCTCAAATTATTTCAGAGAAGTCTGTGTTTCTGCAAAAAATATTGATAAGATATAAGATAAAATATGCATAAATTTTCAGTTTAGTTGCTCAAAAGGTACATTACTTTTGTATGACTCGTATGCCTCTAGCAGTTCTAGGTTTCTTGTACCGGTGCCTACACTTTTTGAAAGCCATGAACAAGACTTGTGCATGGCACTGCAAACTGTATGTCTGAATGAAACCCGGCATTGGTATTGTCGTGGCGGACTGTGGCTTTGTTATGCTGCCCTCTGTTGTCTCACTTGTATCTGTTGTGAGAAGTTGTCTACAGTAAAGTGTACATGATATTTGCACTTTAACCACATAGGGTGCTCATTCTTGCTCTCTGTCTGAGATTGCCTGTCTTACTCTCGCATCTAGTAGATATATTTTGATGGAAAGTTTTTGGATTCAGCTGTTTTTACTTGCTTTCTACAGAATGCTGAAGTATTTTCAGGATGACAGGAATCATCCTTGTGGGTTATCAGGTCCTCAAAATGATACGGTTGAGTGGAATTGGGAAGATGCAAGATGCAAGTTTGTACTTATGTCTGGCAGATGTTACTCTCTGGTTCTGTGGTGAATACTAGGTGACCTTCATATCCTGTCCAGGCAATGTTGGATTCAGGAGAGTGACATTTAGCTCAGAGTCTTGCGGTTTGCGGTTCCGCACCATCAGTGACTGTTTACATTACATGATGCCGAGAAACGCATGTTTACACCTCAGTATTGACTTGCAGGTGTGCATACACTTTCTAAGATGGGGCTACATGTACAGTGTATGTTCAGTTAGCTGGGGGTATCTGCCAGCAAAATCCTAGCTTACTTCCAAACAGAATAATGAAATTTAGTATCTTGTGTTATTGCAGGAAGCATCGCTTCTCCGAGCTTTTTTAATCACCGTGCTTTTGCCCCTTGGGATTTTAAAATTCGACCTCGATTTACTTCACCATAGTTAGACATGCACAATCTTCTATGAGAGCTGACAGTTTTTCTGGAGTTCAATTTTTTAAAAGCAACTTGTGACAGATAGTATAATAAGACTAGTATGCTGTAGGCTTATGCCAACAGCATGGCAACATGTACATGCACTGTTTACCTTTGCATCCATGGATACACAAAGAATTTATTCTTGATGTCAATTTATTCCAACTTCGTGCATGCCTGAGTGTTCTTGGGTGGACTAAAATACAGTGACTGTAATATAAAAAAGGAATCCAATAATTGCCGTGCAAGCATAAGACATGTTAGCCTTTAGTCTTAAGCCATTCCTTCTCAATCTAGAATTCTTATTTTAAAGTGACTTTGGGTGGAAAAAGTGGTCCGAGTTGAGAGAGATAATTTCAGAGCATTAGACCTTGCCCCGTGTTGAGACTTTAATTAAATTGCTGGCCACATCCCTGAAATTAATGTGTAGCCATTACCCAGAAAATTCAGTTGCCTTGGGCAAGAGGGTTCTCAAGAATGTTTGGTCATATTTGATGACGGGATGCCTTTGCCTGTGTGACTGACACAGGTTTGCACACGTGTTAGTAATTCCGAATTCTGGGCACTGTCCATGCTGTCCGAAGCCGATCAAGGCACTGGTACAATGTACATGTACATGTAGCTGTCCTGGGCTCACTTTCATGTACAGTACATGTACGTACATGTATGAGGAACTTTGTTTTCAACTCATCAGAGTTTCTGGGCAGGTGGACACATGTACAATGTACATGTAGCAAGGTCCGGCCGGCCTAATTAACTGCCCTCGTTAGTCTGCCAGCAAGTCAGATGATTAACGAGCTGATGTTATTACACCCCTAGAGGAGCGCAGTTAATGAGGTCAGGTTAGTTGGAGGGGTGATCCTGTTGCAAGGAGAGGGATGAATTGGATATCGGAGAGTAAGTTTGTTGGGAGGTTAGGGTAAAATGAAATGTTAAGATCTGACAGACCTCATTGTGATGTAATACACAACCTCTTTGGGGCAGCTCCTTGTCTCCAGCCAAAGCAAATAGGAATGTTCCTCTCAAATCCCTCTCAATCACAGGGGTATGGGGTGGGGAGATTCTGCAGGGTGGAATAAAGCAGACCCCAGCCCTGATTACTCTTGTATCTGATGTACAGAGAAATGAAGATTGGGGTCTTGGAAACACACTACCGGTAGATTGACTCATACACTGGGACTACTCTTGAAAAAACACTGCGTTTTGCTACCCAAATGTAGTGAAAAAGAGCAACTGGATAATTTGAAGAAGACAGATGGGGTGCCTTAATTCTTGTCATGTGAAGCACTTTGCAGCGGGCTAGAATCATTATCTACTCATTATCAAATCATCTTGAAGTAAGGACAGTAGTTGTTAATTGAAAACACAGGAAATATACAATATTGGAGTTCCAGATATCAGATGATATGGGTACATGTGGGGTGATTTTTTTTTTATGATTTGTAGAATGCAGCTGCTTTTCTTGGGCCTTGGATTGTGAACATTACTTTAAAGTGCTTCTGTTCTTGTTCAGATCACAGCTAGTTCCGTGAACAGATTTCCTTGTGGTCTGATTCTCATTTTTGCATCTCCTTTCCAGCAGAGGCGGCAGGTTCCTGCCAACATTCTGCCATTTTTATTACCTGGCGATTCAGGTGGTCGAAGGAGAGACCAGAAAAATGATTTACCATGGTGGGAGACTGCGGGACTGAGTTGATTTATGAGCTTGAGGCAACATGTTGGCTGTGGTAATTAAGCGTCGTCAATCTTTGGAGTGTGTTGTGTTTTCCCCGGTACAGCAAATTTGGGGACTCATGTGGCTTAGTGGCCCATGGTGGGACAGTCTTTAGTCAGGGGTTCATTGGATGCTGCAGACAGAAACAATTTGAGCACTATGAATCAGAAATTAAATGCTAACATGAAATTTGTCACAACAGAAATTGATCATTAAAAACGCCGTGGGAGATGGGCTTCACGAAACATAGCCTTTTGAAGGCAGCGTTTGTTGACTTGGACATGTGTTGTGTGAGTATTACATTGAGTATTAAGATTTTATTAAAATCAGAGTAAGATTCCATAAGTTGAAAAATAAAATAAACATGCACTCAAGACTTGTGACTAATGAAAGTTCTCAAAAGTGCGAACCTCCCTCTTGATCGCTCCCGGAGTTGAAGCACTTCAAGCATTCTGTGGTTGAAATAAAGGAAAGAGAGTAGTCTCTGATCCCGAAAGATCCTTGATAAATGATATTTTCTGATCTTATCAGTCGTCATCAGTTGGCGTAGGTGCTAAACTGTTTTCCCAGGTCGAGCTCCTGTTGACAGGTTTGTCACTGCCCCCAACAGACCCCAATCTCTTCACCCCAGGCCTTGTTTTTACAGATGTTTATAGAATTATGGATAAATATCAGTGACTGACTCGTTGAGAGCGTCTGGACAGAATCCTGCAGTTCATTGCCTTTATGACGTTTAGGACTGCTCCTTGCGTACATTGCAAGAGGGGTCTCTTTTAAGTTCAGCCAGGAGTTGCTGATTCTTGAGAGTGGGAACAGATTTTGATTGTTTTGACTTTTCTCTTTTGTCATCTGATTTAGCGCTACCAACTCCCTGTGCATTTATCCATACACACATCCTGCACGGAGTGGAATATGTCTCATTCTTGTGATGCAATTTTTAGTTTATTTCATCAAAGAGTCATTTTCAGATATTTAGTTATATTAGGCATTATACATGTAGCTTGACCGACAAGCTTTGAAATTGTAGAAAGTTGACAGAGTATTTATTGGAAAACGTGGGCATGTACATACTGTTTGTGATTTATTCAGCTGCATTGAAGTAATGTGTCTTGTCCATTACAGTAGCACAAGATACTGTTATCAGATGCCTTGACATTGTGTGAAATTTTATAGAATTTATTGGGGAAAAACTCCAGCGCCTAATTCGTTGGAGTGGCTTTTGTGACAGGTGGTATCATGTTACTGCGGCTCCTTCTTAGCACACAATCTACCTGTACTCCGATAAACAATCCAGAGAGAAGTGTGCGTGTAGCATTACGGCAGAACGCCCATATTTCGTCCCGGAACGTACTTTTTATTCAGTGTCGCCTGCTGTGATAACAGTGTAGGATTCCAACCGTAATGAGGGATGATGCCACTTCGATCAAATTACGAGAAGGAGGAATCTGGCAGAGGACCGTCCGTGGCTCAGTGACAGTAACTGTTTTACATGTGGCTGTTGTGTAGAAAAATCTGTCTTGACAGAGATCTCTGCTTGGACTTCACCATAAAGTGAATTACCTCCCACTGATAATTTAAGACTGGTGCTAAGCCCTTGTCACAAGTGGCCTTTTCACATTGTAAACCCTTGTCACAAGTGGCCTTTTCACATTGTAAACCCTACCCATGTAACTTTCCCACAGAGGCCGCATCTGTGTAACCCGACACTGTGATAAAATACTCTTCTAATTAGGCCTTTGTAATGCAATTGTCTGAGCCCGTGTATTATCATATAGTATGCAGTGTTTGCAATATGTCATCTGACCCCTCTGGATTGCTAGCAGCAATAATTATGTAGGCCTACATAGTGAACCCAAAACTGAACTTTTGGACTTGGGGGAATTTTTTACCCCAATCCATGTATTAGAATAAATGATGTGCAGTCTTCTCATGGTTTGCTAAAAAGAGCTCAGGCCTTTTGGTGGGTATTTAACGCTTTTAAGAAAATCATCACTTTCAGACATTTTAATCAGAGCTACCTGTATATGTAA